CAGACTGTCAATCCTCAACCTGTTTCCCCTTTCCTACAGGCAATTACGTGGTGACCTTATACTAACATTTCGCCTCATCAACGGCCTAGACTGTTGTTTAGATCCCACCGATTAGTTCACCCAAGCTAACACGCCCACTTTGCGCGGTCATCCCCTAAAACTACGCGCAGGGAAATCAAGAATCAATGGACGGAAGTTCTTTTTCAGTAACAGAGTGGTTGCAGCGTGGAATGCCCTGCCTGCCGATGTTGTAACCTCCCCCTGTGTGAATTCCTTCAAGTGTAGACTTGACAGGCATTAAGCTTCCCAATTACCACTCTCACATCCACTCACATAACCCGGCACCATTTTATACGTGTTTATACTACTTGTAATTAGTAAGTAACCGTTAATGATTACTCTTTGACGACTAGCTGTCAGCTGTCCGAGAGTATGTACAAAATCCCTTTTTCACCTTCCCATTTATCCATCTTTTTCTCCGACGACTTGTAACCAATAGGGAGTTCAAAGACGCTTGCCTATATTTCCCTTAATAAACTGATACTGATACTGAATGTCAGCTTTGTTTCAGGTAACAATACAAAAGGAAATGCCTCATGCGTAATAGATAATAAAAGATTTCAGAGTCCTAACTGTGCATATAAGCTCCTAATCAATGACCATGCTCAAGGTAGCCGGACATGATAAAAACGTACCTCTGTCGTAATTCTTTAAAGAAGCATAAATATACAAATTAGGATCAAACGTTTTGCACCCTATTAACCAAGCGCAGCCAAGTTGGTTCGTATCTCACGGTTATGAAGAGAGAGATGTGGTGAGGCTGACCTAACCAAGACCAGATGGAACTGGAGAGGTTTTATCCGAAACTGTTTTTGCGCACTTTATGTACATCTTACTACTCCTTGGGGAATGGGAGTCGAAAATTTATCAAACAGATTTTCCTACGTCTCCTAGAGTTCGACCCCGCAATTCAGTGGCTAAGAAGATTAGCATCCAAACAACAGGTCGCGGGTTGGAGGCCCAGGAATTTCAAAAACTAGAATCGGATCTGGATAACTAATGACAATGTAAACATGCGCAGTCCGAAAAAATCAAAGGAGAGGACAATTAATATGTCTACGTACAGCGAGTGAACGATCTTATGAAATTTAGGCTGAAATTCTGAAATGCGTTTTCGATTAAGAAGGATTACTTGGTTGCGGTCGTAATACTGATAACCTTACAGCATAATCTTATAACATGTCGAACTCTGCAGGATGTCAGATTTTGAATACAGTGCTTTTCAATGTCCTGCAGAAACTGTAAAGAAGGCATAATAATCTATTAATAGACTGAAAGAAAACATATTTTTGTTTATGGTTTCTATAATATATATTTGAATTTGCAAGACCATCAAAAATCAATGGGAAAATGCATGCTATATAAGTAGTAATTTTTTGCCGAGCACAATTTCTGCAGGACATTGGAAAGCACTGTATTCAAAATCTGACATCCTGCAGAGTCCAAAATGTTATAAGATTATGCTGTGATATAGTCAGTATTACGACGGCAACCAAGTAATCCTTCTTAATCGAAAATGCATTTCAGTTAACATTTCATGAGATCGGTCATTAACTGTATATGTCCAAACAGGAGGATTTTCCGGAATATGTGCGTGCGAAATCTGCCGCTAAATCAATCCTAGAACATCACATTGCATCTTGCTACGACCGGAGCAGGCTTTTTTGAGTGCAATTTTGATGTTCATTATTAATTTCAAAAGGCCCAAATTTCTAACCATCAACACATGCAGTTTTGCCCGGACCAGCCTTATTTACACTTTTTTAAATCCCAAAACGATACGGTTACACACGTTTCGAAATTCGAAGGACCCATGTCGAGGTATATTTGAGACAGAAAACAAACGAGCACCTTCTTACAAACAGATGTAATTAAGAAAGAAGGTCATGATACTGTCATTGAGAATCAATGCAACAACAGAAGAAGTTGAGTTTTCAAAGGGTCTGAAGTGCGTACTTTCCGATTCAAACTTACTGAACTACTTCATAAGCTTGAAATACATCATATAAGTACCAAACTTTAAGAAACATGAACGTTTTGCCATCCTAAACAGTACCCCACGGGCTTTAAATGATCCAAATGGCTTTACGGAACCATCGCGTAAAGAAAGGAGGCCGTTAAATAGTCTAAAATCAGAGAAGAATAATACTACTCTCCATGAGAACGATGAAAGTACAATCAACAAGAGTGAGAATCTGCTGCCCGGGCTCTAAGATAGAGCTACCTGTAAACTACTCTGCACGGACCCTAACGAGGCAGAGACCTCTTCTATTGATATAGTGCGGATGTGTCTTACATGGAAGAAGCAGCTGTAGAGGATATGCTGTCAAATGTCTGACATAAATTGAGCCGATCATTGCAACACCTTTGGACGACCTAAGGTTCACAAACAAAGGTCCCAATGCAATCGATAGTATCATTAGTCTAACCGCAAAATTTCAATTGGCTATACCACAAGCTTCATCCGCTAGCAAGGATTTGTGTAAACTCAGATAAGAGCTCAGTGAAATATCTGAAGACATTAGAAGGAATAACAAATTGCACAAATGTTATAATAGGCTATTTTAGTTTCGTTCGCCTATACAGGTCCATACCACTAAATTTAGTAGAACAATACACAGAGGAACTTCTGCTGTTCTACGACAAGGATGTTCTTGCAACCCCCATAGGTGGACCACAACTTTTTCTCGATCAAAATTGCTATCTAAAACGAAACGGAACCCCAATCTTAAGGTTTGTTGCCGAAATCGCAATGCGGAAATTAGAGGCTACATGTCTTCGCTGGTTAGCCCTAACTTGTAGTTGGCATATTTATTGTCGTTAAAGGTGACCAACTTAAAACGCTCCACATCAATAGCAACTCATATGTTCTGAGAATAAATTCACACTCGCATAGGACGTTGACAGCGTTCCCATATTTTGTCGTGCAACGAGATACCGACGAGACAGTGCGCACAACGGTTTATCGAAATGAAACTCATACCAAAGTCATTCCAGCATGCGTGGGTAACTATCCTATCTCTCAAGAACGGACCGCTATCAACTGTCTGCCTACACGAGACAAAGCATACTGACTATCCGGTGGAAGTAACTTACTTATGAGAATTATTTCCCAAGAATGGGTACGCTGAGGATAATGCTTGAAACACCAAGAGTGAAAGAGAAAGGACAGCGGTACTTCCAGTTAGAATCTCGAATCAAATACTTGGCGAACCCTTATTTACGATAAAAATATGTCTGAGCTTGTTAAAGGACGCCTAAAGAAGGACCAAATCCAAGTGGTGCACAAACCCACGGTTGTGTTACGCACTCAGATTGTACACCCTAAGCATGGGCTTAGGTATTTTGGCAAGAAGTTGCCCACGAGATCCAATGTGACGCATGAGAGGTTGTTTGCTGAAGTCAGACTAAGAAATCCGCCTCCTCATGCATGAACGAGTAGAAATTGATAGTAAAGGGGCAACATAATCTGTCTGATGTAGCCAGGCATACTCTGGACACTGGACACTGCCTGGGACAAGGCTGGCCATTTACCCAGGTGGATCATGCATCTACCGGCATATTCAGTTGGATGCTGCGTACAGAAATCATATGTAGAAATGGTAGAGGCGAAATTCAGCCCGCACAGACCGACACACACACAGACGCTGCAAACCGGAACGAACGCCAAGCCATTATCGATGTTTAAGTTCAAGTAAAATATCCACTTTTTCTGGCATATTTACTCTCCGTCAGCGTTTGATGACGGCAGGCGGAGGAGTACTCTACTCTTCACACAGTAAAATGCCTTTTCCAAAATAACATACTTAAATGCCAAATACATACATGTATCAATAGTAGTGAAAATGCGATTCCCAGGTGGCATATCAAAAGAAGAGGGGGCGTTCACCGGGAGGGGTTTATTTGAGGTCCGTAGTTTCGAGGAGTTTATTCGTCTACCCATCTTCAGAGAATGGGAAGTCCTGTGCACAGATTCCCTTGTAATGGCGCCCTTTGTCCAATGCGTGATCCGCCAATACCGCCTGTATGCCTACATCCAACTCGCATGTCACCGTGACCTGAATCGCCCCCCGTCGGCCGCGGAGATGACTGACGGTCCCGATTGTCCCGAGCCGTGACTGTCCCCCGCTAAGAAGGTTCGTAAAGTCAGATAAGGGGGAGGCGAATTGATGTGACGTTTGATTTGGCGTTTGCAGCCGTCGGCCGGTTTCAACGTACTCGCACCTTCCGCAGCTGCATTGAAGTCGGTAGACAACGGCCGATATCTCCTGTTTAGGGATCAGATCTTTTGGCCGCATCACTTGCCGGCGGATTGTTGCGTCAGGCCTGTGGGCAACACCTATTCCGAGTGGCGTGAGTGATCGAGCCACGGCTTCGGAGACCCCTTTAATATGCGGAATGCTCCGCCACGAGTTTGACTGAATATTCACTTCGTTTCCTTTCTTTGGCTGCCTCCGGCTCCGTTCAATGAATGCCCGCGGATAGCCACTGGCTATGAAGTGTTCTCGTAGGCGCTTTATCTCGTCCAGTTTGGCGGCTGGCGTGCTGCAATGAGTTTCCACCCGTCGGTACAGCGTGCGGACACAGCTTGGTTTGTGTTGTAGCGGGTGGTTGCTGTTGTAGCTGAGCATTTGCAGCCTGTTCGCTAGTTCGCCATTTGGTTGGCGGCAGACGAGAACATCCAAGAATGGAAGTTTGTCCTCGGCTTCCTCTTCCATCGTGAACCGTAGATCGGGCATGATTGAGTTCAGTACTTCCGCATAAGAGTTGATTTTATCCTGGTCGATGATTACAAAGCTGTCATCAACGTAGCGTGCCCAAAACTTGCGTTTGTACCTTTCGAATAGTTGTCTCTCGAGTTTTTGTAGAACCGCCTCGGCAATGAGCCCGGAGATTGGTGAACCCATTGGAGTGCCCTTGATCTGCTCGTATGTGGTCCCTTAAAGGGCAAAGAATGTCTTGAGGCAATACCCCATGAGTTTTATGAGATTCTGAGCTGTGGGCTGGCCATCGCTCCCGTCGTAATTTTGACGTAACAGGTCACTGAGCGTTTCGACCGCAAGGGCCTGTGGTATGGACGTGAAGAGTGAGACGACGTCAAAAGACACCACCCTTTCATTCGGTTCGATCGTGACTGTCCTTATTTTGTCAAGGAATTGTTCTGCTGAGTGCACCGTTGTTTGTGAGCCTGCAGTTAGGAATCTTAGCTTCTGAAATAGCCAGCTTGCAAGCCCGTATGTGGGTGTGCCTCGGAGTGAGACGATAGGACGGAGGGGAACATCTGGCTTGTGTACTTTTGGGAGACTGTAGAATCTCGCCATAGCGGTTTCTGCGGGCTTTGCCATGTACCAGTCTTTGACAGTGATGACCTTGTCCTTTTTTAGTCGAGCCAGAATTCTGTTAACCTTTGCCAGTAGGGACTTTAGATTGGCGGCGTCGCTGACTTTATCGGACTCCCGGTCGTTGAGGAGCAGGAGGGCTTTGCGTCGGTAGTCCACCTTGTCGAGGATAACGGTTGACCGGTCTTTGTCAGCAGGCAGAATAACTATTTTGGTGTCCGCTTTCAGCTCCCTCAGGGCCTTTTGTTCATCTCTTAGCAGGGAATGGGTTTTCCGGTGCGGCATGAGAAGTGAGGAGACTTGATGTCGCAGCAGGTCCTTTGCCTCGTCTGTGGCGCCGGTCTGACGAAGCACTGATTCGAAAGAAGTAATGAAGGTGACTGGGTCGGCGTCAGTTGTGTTAAAACCAGATCCACGTTGTAGAACTTTGGTTTGGGTAACAGTAAGTTGTTTTGACCACAGGTTATGTACTATCGTTTGTTCGGTTTTCTGGGCTTGTGCAGTCGGCAGTGCCACGTACTTTACCGATAAGTCCGCATCTCTGTTAGCACGTTTCTTTCGTCCAAATACTAGTAATGTGTTCTCCAATGTAGCGGCAGTCGATTCACCACACTGGCGTGTAACAAGCATCCGGAAGTTCTCAGAACTGTCCGCGTATTTCTTTAGTCGCAGGTGACAATCTTGTATGAGTACCCTTGTCATTCGCCGACTATGGCGGAACATCGTTTGTTTAGCCAATTCCGTGTTGACTGGAAGAGGAAGTCGAGGACAAACTTCCATTCTTGGATGTTCTCGTCTGCCGCCAACCAAATGGCGAACTAGCGAACAGGCTGCAAATGCTCAGCTACAACAGCAACCACCCGCTACAACACAAACCAAGCTGTGTCCGCACGCTGTACCGACGGGTGGAAACTCATTGCAGCACGCCAGCCGCCAAACTGGACGAGATAAAGCGCCTACGAGAACACTTCATAGCCAGTGGCTATCCGCGGGCATTCATTGAACGGAGCCGGAGGCAGCCAAAGAAAGGAAACGAAGTGAATATTCAGTCAAACTCGTGGCGGAGCATTCCGCATATTAAAGGGGTCTCCGAAGCCGTGGCTCGATCACTCACGCCACTCGGAATAGGTGTTGCCCACAGGCCTGACGCAACAATCCGCCGGCAAGTGATGCGGCCAAAAGATCTGATCCCTAAACAGGAGATATCGGCCGTTGTCTACCGACTTCAATGCAGCTGCGGAAGGTGCGAGTACGTTGAAACCGGCCGACGGCTGCAACCGCGAATGCACGAACATAAGTTGGCCGGGCGAAGGTTGGACCCAAAGTCGGAGGTAGCAAACCATGCCGCGCAAATGGGACAAATCTTTAACTTTGACGCCGTTGAGATTGTGGGCCAGGGGTGCGATCACACGGCGAGGAAGTTGCAAGGATCCTGAATGTCCACCGACCGCTCTGTCAACCGCCACACCAAGTTGCCTCCCCCTTATCTGACTTTACGAACCTTCTTAGCGGGGGACAGTCACGGCTCGGGACAATCGGGACCGTCAGTCATCTCCGCGACCGACGGGGGGCGATCCAGGTCACGGTGACATGCGAGTTGGATGCAGTCATACAGGCGGCATTGGCGGAAAAAGGGCGCCATTATAAGGGGAGCTGTGCACAGGACTTCCCAGTCTCTGAAGATGGGTAGACGAATAAACTACTCGAAACGTTGGACCTCAAATAAACCCCTCCCGGTAAACGCCCCCTCTTCTTTTGATATGCCACCTGGGAATCGCATATTCACTACTATTGATACATATATGTATTTTGCATTCAAGTATGTTATTTTGGAAAAGGCATTTTACTGTGTGAAGAGTAGAGTCCTCCTCCGCCTGCCGTCATCAGACGCTGACGGAGAGTAAATATGCCAGAAAAAGTGGATATTTTAATTGAACTTAAACATCGATAATGGCTTGGCGTTCGTTCCGGTTTGCAGCGTCTGTGTGTGTCAGACGATGATGTGAGTTTCTTCCCATGCGAAGTTGTGTCCTGTGTCAAGGGTTTATATACGAGGTAAGGTGGTATAGACAAATGCATACGTCAATATCTACGAATGTCGATGGCAGACAAGAGTACGAAGAGGCATTTGGAGGAGCGCCGACTGGGTTAAGAGAGGGCTAGTTTGATACAGGTCCTTCATCGTTTAAGTCGGGGTTCTCAAGGCCAAGCATAACTTATGCGAATTCAAGGTACTTAGACGACTTCACACACTTTAGCCTCCTAGCAGCGTGTTTAACAACTTGGGATTTGAATCTGGAGTGCATCAATTTCGTTTATGGTTACCTAAAACCTCTTACCGTCAGCTTTTTTTAAAAAAAAGTTTTTTGAAGCATGTATGATCTAGGCCGATCATTTTAGTGGCGGAAATTAATATTTGTTGAGTATTTTTAAACGTCTGTACTAAACCGTCTTCAAATGACTTGCCAAAACCAGTGGTTTTCCAGCCGCACGATGTCTGCTCAAATAAATCACTCACTCTAATTAAACCTACCTCCAAGATGTAGTTTTACCAAGCCATATGCCCCAACAGTTGCGGATACACCAGGCGCATGATGTGATTCCACATTGTATGCGTACTCTTATAGAGCTTCTAGAACTTCAAGTTGACTTGCCGCCGAACGCTGGCCTACCTCTTCTCCGGAAGTGATCCCGCAACTCCCTCCGAATCCCTTATTTCCCACCAAATCTCACAGGCATGGAAGCAGCACTCATCGGGAGCATCCAGAGACACATTTCCAGTAGATTGTTAATGGGCGTCTCTGTTCATGATGTGGAGCGTCCGTTCATCACAAACACTAATCTGAAGTGAAAAAGTGAGTCGATCATTCATTCAGGTATGGCCTCTTTGAACTGCGGATGGGCCGTGGCGTTTCCGAAAGCACTCGGTTGGCGACTCAGAGGCCAGCTTAGTCCACGTGATCTGGGGGTGCTAAGGCCATATCGACGAATTTTTAAATTAAACGATGACTCTAACGCCGTGCAACAGATAAGTGCAGTTGTCTTCAAGCATGTTTGATTTCATCAACTTATATACAGTGTCAGTTATTTTTTAAAGGAATAGTCTTCCTAGGGTAAACATCGGTTTTGTTGGCACTTCCGTCAGCAAAAGGAAGGATAATCGTTTAGCAATTTTTGTCCTAGAGAGCGTTATTCCAGTATGTGCAAATATTTATATGATAGATGTCATGTTCTTGTGTCTTGTTTGGTCCCTTCTGGGATTTAAACCGATTCTGTAAGAACATATCAGATCTACTTCTAATCCCTGATTAGACCATACCAGAAATGTCCTTCTACATGAATTTTCCGATTTTAAAATCAAATAAATGGTGCTTTACTCAAAGTGCAGGCTGCTGCAATAAAGCAAGATATAAAGTATGCGCTCTACTCCAGTTTAGTGTTCCTTTGTAATTCCCCAGGTTTTTGTCTTGCATTCTTTCCTTATCCTCCTTCCCCCTCATCTCCTACCACATCATTGTCCTCCCCCTGTTCATCTATATAGACAATTGCACTGACTGCAATGCCATCCTGTTGATGAATGATATAAATATCTGGATAACAATCAGCTGTGCCGACTTCGGGCAGAAATTACAAGAAAACGCAGACAAGGTGGGTACATGGTCCAGAAAGTAGTTTCTAACTTCTAATGTATCCAAATGTGTGACATTGTGCCTAGAAGCTGTTCGGAGGTTCTCCTCAAGACACTAGTGCATTAAAAGTGGGATTTCATTTAATGAAATGGATGCTCACAAAGGCATAGGCATCTGGGTAAATTCAAATTTGCTGTATCCGGACACTAAAAAACAGCCGTCCAAAATAATTGTGTACTTGACAAGCGTGCCACCGTAGTCTTTCCTCCCGAACACTTCGCGAGGGTCTTCGGTACGTTTGTCAGACCGCATTTGAAATACGCAATGTCAACATGGATTTTGAGGGTCATCCAGCAACTTTCTAAGTCACGGAACTGCACGCATCGTAGTAAATTCATGCTCGGATCACACATGCAGCAGATGATCCACAGGAAGTAGGGGCCGGGAAACTCGCCTCCAAGTTTCATGAGAGGTGCCAATGTCGTAGGATTTTGGAGGGTTGCATGCGTAGTGCAGGTGTTGGTGGAGGAATTTGTGGTGATGCGGTCGTGTTTGAGATGATTTTTTCATGAATTCGCATGTGGCCGAGGAGGGTCATGCAGTGGTTGAGTGTGTGAGTGAGGTGCGGGCAATTGATGCGAGTGGGCCTGGTGTATGTTGGTGCTCCAGGCACCGGTTCACCAGTCACCATGCAACGGATTTGCAAGTGACCTACTTCTCTGCATGCAAACGGCTTACAGCGGACTGCCGTGTCATTCGATTTCGCGCAAGCCGTAGGATTGTCAGAGAAGAGGATTCTGTTGATAAAAGTAAAAACGCCTTGCCGCCTCGTAAATTTTAATTTCGGCTTTGCGGTAGGGATGGCTTCTCGATATAAGGTGAGACTGATTATGCTCAGGTCCATGCTTTAATGCAACTGGAGTCCAGATTTTGGCGGTTTTTCTGGTGAATGTTATTGTTATTGTTGACTCTGTTTGACCCTCATCTCTTGAACCGATACTCCCCGTCGGATAATAAGGTGACTGATAAAGATGAGCTGTAAAATCGCTCACATCGTACTTGTACTTTAATAAAGCCTGTCTGTCACATTGGGTCTCTGCCTTGGTGCCTCGCCAAATATGAACGCAAATCGGGGTGTTACCGAGGAGCCTAGGTAAGAAGCTTCCGCAATTTGGTGGCATCTGAGGAAAGAAGTGGCGGCAAGGATATGGCATATGATCGGACTTAGTTACACCGGGGGAGCATGTGTGCCAAAAGGAAAGGACCGGCGATATTTATTGTACCTGTCTGAGAAAGTAATACGGCCTCTCGGTTGCTGCAGCATGAGGCTGATCAAGATGCTTTAATGTAGTCATCATAGTGGAAGTACGGCAATGCCTGCGATGGAGCATCATATTCATTTTATAGTATTATTATTAAATGGGGAAATATAGCGTATCCTTTTAATTGGAAATAATATGAAACAGCAAAGTGTGTTGTACCATAAAGTTCTTAGATGTTCAGTCCTTAAGCTCGACACAAATGCCCTCCGGATAAAGTGACCTCAGCCATAAGCCATACCCTTGCTCGGCTTAGCGCAACTGAGAGCATCGTCCCCTGCTAAGACTCCCCGAGAATATTATGTGCCGACATGAACAGAGGCCCAGTAAACGCTCTGTTTATAACTAGTCCTCTTACAAGTCCTTTTAACGAATTTATCGTGTATCTTTTAAGTAGTTCCTAGAATAAGATGGCTATTTTCGTCAAGTCTAGAGCTGCCAAGTACCAGTCCATATTGAGAAAGGTGCCTCATTTCGTCATGTATTCATTAAATGTACACCTACAATTGCCTTTTAAGCCTTCTGGCGGCGAGAAGGTGGACGATAAGAGTCGTAGATTTAGTGATGAAAATCATATTGTAAATTGCTGCGAAATGCGTTCATACAAACAGAGTATCACCCATCCCCTGAAGGTGTCATGATTTATAAGATCGAAATTGCTCGTCCTACGAGACAGGCCATAGCTGATATATTTGTGGTGGGTCTCTTACATCGGGTGATATTTATCAGGATACAAAAATATTCTATTGCCGACCGACCATTCAAAGTCGAGCGTCTACAATAATCTGTCAACCAAATGTTTACCGATACGTTGTCCTCAGGGAAGGATATC